GATCAAGTGCCCATCAATGGATGAGTGGCTAAATGGTGAGATGTGTGTGTGTGTATACACAATATACAATGGATTATTATTCAATCATCAAAAAGAATGAAGTACTAATATGTACTACAAGATGGATGAACCTAAAAAATAAGTTAAATGAAAGAAGCCAGGCACAAAATGTAAAATATTGTACTTATATGAGATAAGCAGAATTAGTAAATCTGTAAAGATAATGTAGATTGGTTGTGACCAAGGGTTAAGGGAAGATGGAAATTAATAGCATTGCATTTCCTTTGGGGTGATGAAAACCTCTGAAACTACATAACAGGTGGTGGTTACACAACATTGAGAATGTACTCAATGCCCCTGAATTATTCACTTTAGAATGGTTAATTTTATGTGAATCTCACCTCAGTTTAAAAAATTGTATATATTAAATTAGTTATAGATATGTGTGTGTGTGTGTGTGTATCATGTTATACCTATAAAACTAGAAGGGCACAAAATATGTTAATAGCCTGAGTAGTAAATGGTTGATTTTGTTTTCTTGCTTTGTTTTTTTTCAGTGGATGCGGATTTCCCTCATAGCAAGGGTATAAAGTTTTACAAAAGTTACTGTAATATGTAATATATGCAATCCTTCTACTTCTGGAAGTTCGTGCTGCAATTCCAAGGAAACAATCAGTACACATTTTTCTGGTGCTTTCCACCCTTTTAAATCAGGTAACTTTATGTATGCTTGGCAGTATTTTTGCTTGGTTTTGTCTGGAAATGTTCTGAGTTCAGTTAAATAGGAAGTAGAATCACAGTGATGGCAGACTGCTGGCCTGCTAGCCTATCGAGGACTGTAGCCATGGCAAAAGAGCCCTGGCATGAAATTGAGGGGCAGGGACAAAACCTTCTAGCCCCTTGTTACTGTCCAAAAAGGAAGAGAGAAGGAGCTTACACTCTTCACACCTACTGTGAACCTGGCATCATTAGATTTTGGTCCTTGAGTGTGCCCCTGAATCTCTATAGGCCTCTACCCACTACTCTGTAAAAACGCATGGCTGGACTGCAAGAGCCCTTAAGAATCCTTTACTTCTGAGGTGCTAGAAGCCTGTACAAGTCGATACTTTGACGATGGCCATAAAAATCAAGGACAACTCTTGTTCCTCCTGTGAAAACGAGACAATCCCCTTACCCCCACTCCCATCCGCTGTCCTGAGTATACCTAAACCATTCACTTTACCCATGCCTCAGGTGGGCTGACTCTAGATGGCAAAGCAAGACCTGATCTCCCTGAAGTTCAGGTTGGGGAATGGGTGGAAGGGGACTGCCATGTCCTTGCTATGAGTAGCCTCCAAGTTCTTATTCTTCACACGTTCCTGGGCTTCTACTGGCAAACTTGGGTGCAGTAATTGAGCAGTCTTTAGCATTATTCTCTCGCACCAACAGTCACTTAACTTTTTATTCTCTCACCTGGCTATGCTCAGAACTTTATAAAAGATCTCTAATTGAAACCCAGTGAACAAAAATTTGGTGAAGCTTGTAATTAGAGGTTCTGTGTAGCTCTAAGAAACGACGTTTAATTTCACTTTAAAACTTATTAATACAACTGCTCTTATAAATGCATTTGGAGTATGCCCTTTGCCTCAAAGTACCATATCCAGCAAGGAGGTGAAGCAGTGGTCAACTTCATGCCATTTAAGGTAGATTCTCAATACCCACTTCACTTTTCTAAATATCCTACCCGCTCTTAAAGCCTAGAATTCTTGACTATATTTTGCAGCTAAATTTACTGTTCCAAAACTGTTGGCTACAGCTTCTTTATAGATTGACACAATTTCTACTAGAAAACCCCCCTCCCCATACTTCTGTTTAGGATGGAGGATGCCAACATTTTCACACAATGGATTAAATATTATTGCAGTAACTTTTTAGAGAAATCATTTATTCAGCAGTTCAAATAGTAGCCAACTCAAAATTCTCAGTTCTGATTTTATGTTTGGGTGTCTCTGAAACAACCGACAGTACTTTAGGTTTCTCTCATTTTTTGAAAATCAAGATCAATCTTGACTTATCGTAAACATTGTTAAAATGTTTCACAATAAGCATACCCCTTTGGGCATACTTATATTGGAAGAGAAATTTGACAGATACTGCCAACGTTTCAATTTTTAAAAATTTGACTTAGCATTTCTACTTTGTCGAAAAACCTGCACATGCCCTAGAGAAATGTATACGGTGTTCATTGAAGCATTTTTTTTGGAATAGCAATAGGAAACAGTCTGAATGACCAACAGTAATTATCAAACATATTATGGAGTATTATACGATGGGATGCCACTTATGTATCTGAATTGCATCAACTAGGAAATAAAAATAGGTACATCATAAAAATTTACAAGAGTTGCTTAATTCCCTTGCACTGATTTTGTTTCACATACTCCATCACTTAAATAACATAATTCTTTATTACTCCAGATCTGTTACTTTCTCTTCTTTAGGTGACCAATAAATCCAACTCTAAGAAAGGCCCAAACCGATGGGCATGCCTAAAGGTGATTACACTCCCTGTTACAGATGTGACCTTTCAGATTGATACCACTGGGACATGGGTGGGAGTGGGGCATATTATGCTTGGGTCACTCTGTGCTGTGTGGTATTTCTGCCATGTGTATTGTTTAATAGCATTCCTAGAACAGAGCAACTTTTTGCCTGATTACTCCAGGGATCAACTTGGCTAAGACCCAGGTAATTTCCCAAGTTATGGCAAGTGTTTGCACTCCTATTCATGGCTTTACTCTTAGTAGGGGCAAAAAGTAACCAGCTTGCATCTCTTGTATACTTATCTGTTTTATGGCTTTTAGGTAGTTTTCAAAGCTATTGCAAGTCATTTGAAAATGACAAAGCACAAATATGAAAAAATTATCACTTTCCACAATCCCTATTAATCAAATAGCCTAATCATTTGCCCAAGTTGGCACTTGAGCAACATAAATTCCAAATTCATTGAATTTGATTGATGCAAACTTGCAGTGATAAAATATGCAAAGGTTCCTGGTTTTTACTGAAGAGCTGGGTGTGCTGTACCAAACCAACTTCAACTTTCACTTATCTCAAATTACAAGTGATGCCAAGCCAGGGGGTTGGTTATATTTTTCTTCAAAAACCATTATTTTGTCTCTTGTGGTTTTCAGTACAGCTAGATATTACCCTAACCCCTGAGCCGTATTTACAATTCCATAGGCAGTGAGGGAAATACTTATCAAATGGCTTCTGTCACACAGGCACTTATCATTTAATTCTTACCCCTGTGGTGCACAGGACACACAAGATTTCCTTTTTCTGATTTCACGCTAAGAAAGTTAATATGGCAAATAGCAACATGTGATAAGACCATCAGAACAATTACAGCAACTAAGCAATAGCAATTTCTAATCTTTACACAGGAATGTTAGAAAATTGGATTATCTTTAAGTTGTAATTGGTATACCAATTCCCAAAATGGAGAAAACTTAATACACCAAAGTGTATACCGAGTATCACCTGCTGGTTAGGAAAATCTTTATACACTATGGTACTGTAAATGATTTAAGTACCAAAGTTTTATACTAAATTATCTAAATTGCCTCCTATGCTTGAATTTTGAGCATTCCAATTCCGGGTGCTACTGTTGACTAACAGAATCTCATTACTTTTCATATTGAAGAGGACTTTGGCCCATTTTCTTCCTGTCAAGATCTGAAGCCAGTCAATCCAGAAACATAGTTCCTATCCTCAATGTCTTCACTGTAGTTATGACACGCCAGCTAAAGTTAAAGGCAAAATTCGCTTTTAAATAGATCACTTACTAGCAACTTGTTGATAATGGTGGCACCATAGCTATAGCGGAAACTTCCATGTAAATCAGATATTTCCCTTGACTAAAAATTTACTATTTTGACAATTTCAGCCTTTCTATACTTAATTGGTATTATTGGAAACAAGATTAAAAATATATAAAACAAAATCTTAAGCTCTTAAGTGAAAGTCATTTAACTAATATTTAAAACCTCTGCAATTATTAGTTTATTAGTATTATCCAGGACTCAGATGTTCAGTATTCCTCCTGAAATTACATAAAACAAATGCAAATGGAAAGAATCCAAGTCAAAATTATATAACAAAAACAGCACTCCATCACAAAAGCGTGTAAAATTACAAGAACGCTATTTTAAAACACTGGCACTTTAAGAGAACGATAATCTCAAAAACCACAATTGCCAAATTGTTCCCTTAACTGCTAAACAGATAAACATATGACCCTGATGGATGAATTTGGTTTAAAAAAAATTCAACTAAATTGGGTAACTCTTATCAAGTGTTTTCTTCCCTTATTTCCATTTATAAAGGGGCAAACTATAAAACAGGAAAATATACCTGATTTACAATGTGGTAGTCGCAATTTTAATGGAGACTAGTTTCCGAAGTCATCCATACTTAAAGACATTTATAGCCAGTAGTTTTCTGAGTCTTTGCTGGAACTCACCTCAACAAAAATTTAATATGGCAGTCTTGTATTTTAACTTCACGCTTTTGGGGTTACATTCTCAGGTCTTCAATGTGGGAACTGCAAATATAACTACCATTACATGGTAATGGGAGTTAAAGAATGTAGAGTCCTCATGTTAAGATTAGAACATACTTTTCTCAGTCCTTCAAGGACAGACTCTCAAAATGTTTGATCCTAATAATCCCATGCTGTGAGTAGATTGGTTTAGCTCTCCGCTTTATAAATGTAACTGGGCCATGTGAAATTTGACATCAACTCACCAAGATTTTGATGGGTGAAAATAGTCTCAATTCAACTTTTATTACCCTCAACACGAATATGCAGGGCGTGTAGAAAAGTTTCTTTTATCAGCTAACTATATGAAAAGATAAACATCAGTAATAACTCATGTGATCCAAATGGGCAAAAAAAAGCAAAAGACTAGCCTCCCCTTGAGAAGAAAAATTTCAGACCTATGAAAAGGACAACAGTACTAATAAAAAAAATTGTATTTACTTAGAAGCATTCAGAATGTCAACAAAACAGCTGCAACTTTTTTTTTGCAATTACAGAGTGGTATTCAGTTAACAGAACAACAATTATTTCGTATAAGCTGCATCAGAGACAACTGAAGATGAAAAACTACCATCCCCATATATAACTAATTTGTGCTGTGCACCAACAAGAACCTGCTTTAAATTTCCATGCCAATTTACAACCCCCATACTGTACCAGGCAAGGTTAGTGGCTATTGAAAATACCACCAGGACAGGGCTATCTAAAGACACATTCGGTAGTGTGTTAACTATACAAAAAAAGACACTGTACAGTTTAAAAACAAATCTTACACAGCCTTACGTTTCAATTTTTTTCTTTAAAAGGAGTGAGTTGTGTACAGGGGGGTTAAATGCTTTATAGACAAGAAAAAAAAACTGCGCTAGAACCAACTTATTCATCATCATCATCCTCTTCTTCATCTTCATCTTCTTCGTCTTCCTCCTCTTCCTCATCCTCTTCATCTTCCTCATCTTCCTCCTCTTCCTTCTTTTTCTTGCTCTTTTCCGCCTTGACGACCCCTTTTTTGGCCGCATCAGGCTTGCCTTTAGCTCGGTATGCAGCAATATCCTTCCAAAGTAAAGGCAGGAGAAAGGCAGGAAATGAAATAGTTAAGTAAATAGAAGTAACATAACATGGCAAGACTTCACGAAAAATCAAAGACTGCAGTTACACTAAAATACTATCTACAAACCCACTCCAACTCCACAGATAACCAGGACTGAGAAATGCATACTAAGAACACTGGGATAATTGTAATTAACATCCATAACTCACGGAATGGTATGGTCTATTATTTGCAATATTATGCCTCACTGAAGTGCAATTATGCATGCCATCCTAACTTTAGTTTATTAAAACTGGAATGTAGAGACTTTGATTAAAGGGTAGACACTGCCACCTTCTGAATGCAAAAAAGCATTCTACAGGTTTATAGTCAGACCCTAAGTCTCAGTAGGAAAATCTGTCTTTAAAAAAAAAAAAGGGCAATTTATTAGTAAAAAGCCTTTAGCTTTAAAAAAAAAAAAGGGGGGGGGGGAAGGCATGGGGGGAATAGTCTTGGCTTGAATCATATTAACTCAAAAACACTACACATAGTGAAAATCTAAGTAACAAATTTATTCAATCTATGTTCTTTGAAAGATGAAAAAAGTTTAAGACTAAATGAATGTACTTATACTAAAAGCTGGACTGCATGTCCAATTCTTAGGAACTCATAAAAACCAGTAAGACAGTAGCAAGTACAACCATCTAACACCCTTTCATTACTCTACCAAGCAAACCCACACTTCTTACCTTTTCGTATTTTTCCTTCAGTTTAGCAGCCTTCTTTTCATAAGGCTGCTTGTCATCTGCAGCAGTGTTATTCCACATCTCTCCCAGCTTCTTTGCAACATCACCAATGGATAGACCAGGATGTTCTCCTTTGATTTTTGGGCGATACTCGGAACAAAACAAGAAAAAGGCCGAACTAAAAAGAGAAATTAAATTTTAGGATGTTGTTTTATCACCAAACCTATGCTGCGATATAAGCTGCTTCTAATTTCTACTGTGTTAGACAGGCAGATAATTACAGCATGCTAAACAGCCTTCATAACCAAAACTTAATTTATAATTACTTAACTTATTTATGATACTACCTAGTAGTTTAACATGGTTAATGTTAAGAATTAAGAATTTTAGTAAGTATGTCAGATAGGTATTTCTCAAGAAATAAAAGAACCAAAATTGCACTTAGAAGATAGCAGGCCAAGGAGGTTAACTGTTCAATTTAAATGCCCTGGCTGAAACTATCATCCAACAGTAATTTTACTGACAATACTTAGACATACCAATGTGAGCCACTATTCAGTCAAAACTTTGATTATACACTCTAAACCCACAAGGTGGCTTGCTGGATTTCTCAGATTCTACTGCAAAATAAAATAGGTAGGATACTTACGGAGGCCTCTTGGGTGCATTGGGATCCTTGAACTTCTTTTTTGTTTCCCCTTTAGGGGGGATATAAGTTTTCATTTCTCTTTCATAACGGGCCTTATCCGCCTTTGCCATGTCTTCAAACTTTCCTTTTTCTTTAGCAGACATGGTCTACAAAAGAATTATTTGTAAACTTAAATTGATACTGAAACTTTAATACACTGCCCTCAAAAGCATTAAAATGAGTAAAACCAATGCACCCTGTTCTAAAGTCACCACTTAAGCTATGCAAATAGCATGTAGGTGTTGTAAGAAATCCTAATTTGGATTTAACTCTTTTTTCATTGCTCCCTTAGGAAGTTTTGAGGCCTCTTACCTTCCACCTCTCTGAGCACTTCTTAGAAAACTCTGAGAAGTTGACTGAAGCATCTGGGTGCTTCTTCTTGTGCTCCTCTCGGCAAGTTTGCACAAAAAATGCATATGATGACATTTTGCCTCTCGGCTTCTTAGGATCACCCTTGCCCATGTTTAATTACTTCTCTAAAAAAAAAAAAGTACTTGATGTTAACAATGAAATGACATTTAAGAGCATTTTTAACTTCTTGGGAGTGCATGAAATCCCAGATACTGCTATTTAACAGTAGTGACATTATCATCCCATAACACCAAACAAGAAAATGGCAGTTAGAGTCAATTCCTAGAAAAGGCCATGCCAAGCCACACATACATACACACACACACACACTCAGTCACTCACACTCTCCTTTGGTGTTATCTCAAGAACGTGCGCACAATGGCCTATCACACCGTGCCCATCATTGATCTGCCCGCGTCTGTTCCCACTGAACACCCCCTAACTGACCACTAAAGACACTTTTAAAAAGGTACACCACCATTCAGTCAACAAAATCAAAGGTCAGAGAACTTACGCTGTGGATTCTGCACTACACTACGTAAATAATAAACAGACAAGCAGCCAAGAGAGCAGACCCTTCCAAATTACGAGCCCTAAGCCACCGCATCTAAAGTTTTCCCAGAGTACTTAAAAATAACCTCTGCAAAAAACTTTGCTGAGGGAGAAGGAGAGAGCGCCAGCTCTCAGCCCCAGGCTGGGGGTGGCCGTGGTATCTGCGCGTCCGCCACTCGAGGCAGCCCCGTTTCCTATCGGTCGGGCCCGAGATGTATTTCAGTTCTGACTAAACACGTCCGGTCTGAAGTTTCTTCGAGTAAACAAGGATGAGGGACAAAAGCCACTCCGGCTCGTTACTCTGGTCGACCCACCCCCACCACCACCACCACCAGGGCAGTATTTTTTTTTTCAAAATTCTTAAAAGTTGGGGCGCCCTGTGGGGGGGCGGGCGGGCTCGCGGCGCCCCGGCCCCGCGTGCCTTCCCGCCCCCGGCCCCCCAGAACTTCGGCGGCGGCCGCGGGGCCGCCGGAGAAATGCCGGGTCGCGGCGCGGCCTCCGGGCCGGGTTCCCCGCGGTCGGGCCGCCACGTGCGCCCGGCCGGCGCAGGCCCCGCAGGCCGCCCCCATTTTGTCAGGCTCGGCGGAGACAGAAGCCCCGCTCGAAATGGGGGCTGGCTCCGCCCGCGGCCGCCGGGGCCGGCGCGCACGGAATGGCCGCTGCGCGTCTTCCCCGCCTGCGCCGCCGCCGCCGCGAGGGCGAGCGCGAGCGAGAATATGGCTCCTTCCCTTTGTGTGTGTGTGTGTGTGTGAGTGTGTGTGAGAGAGAGTGTGAGCGCAGGCGGGCGGGGTGCGCGCCGCGCTCTGGCGCACACACTCGGCCATTACAGCCGGGGGGAGGGGCGGGGGGCGCGCGGCCCGGACCCTCCCCCTCCCGGCCGCGGGGGAGGGGGCCGCCCCGGGAGGCGCCCACCGACCCGCGGCGCCCCGTCTCCCTCCGCGCGAGCCCGCGCGCCCCGGCCGCCCCCGCACGGAGAACGCGGGGCTGTGAAAAGAGAGAGGAAAAAAAAAGTTGCCTCGGAACTGCTGCGCCCAGCTCCCCCGCCCGCTCCCGCCCGCCTTGTTTTCTCTCCAGCCAGCAGCGCCGGCCGAGTCAGCCATGTTCCAGCGAGCGCCGCCGCGCCGCTCCCCCCGCCGCCGAGCCGCCGCGCCGCGCCCGGGCACAGGCCGGCGGGCCCGGCCCCGAGCCGCCGCCCCCGGCCCACCGCGCCGCCGGCCCGCCGCGCCCGCCGGCCCGCCCGCCCGTGCTCGCCGCCGGCGCCCGGCTCGCTGCGGCGGCCAATGCAGCCCGTGGAAGCGGCGCCTCCGCCGCCCGCCCGCCCGCCCGCCCGCCGCCGCCGCCGCCGGCCCCGCCGCCCCCCGCGCACGCCGGCCGCCCGAACGCTCGGCCCAGGGCCCCGAAACACGTTAAAAAATTTTTTTAATTAAAAAAAATTTTTTTTTGCGCCAGTCAGCGCGGCCGCCGTCAGGGGTGGAAACTCGCGGGGCTCGCGGCTCCGGCGCCTCAGGCAGCCGGTGGGCCGGGGTTCCGGCGCGGGGCAGGGCTCCGGCGCCCGGGAAGAGGCTCGCTCCGTGCGCAGTTCCCCCCACGGTCCCCCCTCATTTGCCTTTGTGTGGATCCTGACCCGCCGGCTCCCGGCCGCGGGGATCCGGCCACCGCGCGGGGTAGGGAGCTGCCGGAGGCGCTCTCCCCGCCGCGGCGCTGCCCCAGACTCACCCTCAGCGAGGCACAGAGTCGCCCAGTGCCCGTCCGGCTCTCACTTGCCCCGGCGCTGTCTCTATGGAGCTCAATGTACTGCAATGGCTGTGAGAGCGGGAGCCAGACGCAGCCTCCTCACTCTCTCCGCTCTGTAACATTACTCTCCAGCCAGCGCGGCTCCTATTGGCTACCGCCAACTCACGGGGCTCGCTCATTGGCCCGATACCTCCCATTGTCCTGACCAGAGCCCGTTTGCTATTGGTTGTCTCCGGGGACACGTCATCAAGGATTGAAACAGCGCGCAAATCTGAAAGTGTGTGTATGCCGGGCAAAGAGGCTGAGGCGGGAGAGGCAGAGGCAGAGGCAGCAGCTGCTACGGGAAAGCAGAGCTCTATGGTGTATGTGTGCATGTGTCTAACCCAAGCCAGCCCCACGCCGGAGCGGCCGCCAGAGCGAAAAGGGCCTGACTTTTCCACAAGTGTCCCTAGGTCCTCAGGCAAAAGAGACACCTACAGGCCTCCCCCCCCTTCTTACCCCAAACTCACTTGCAAAGCCGTTGGGATAAGAGGCCCCATACTTTTAATAGACCTTCAAACGTGAGAGGGACAGTGTGGGATCATGTCCCTTGGAAACTGGGGTTTCTGCTAGGGCAGAGGGGCGACGGCAGCCGAGATTTAAGCCCCTCAACAGCGTGTGGTTGCTCTCCACTTTAGATCTGTGGAAGGGCTGGGTTTTTCCTATAAGAAGGTGACAGGGTCTACTCAGCCGATCTGAAATCCCCCTTTTCTGGGCTCGTGAACCCTAACGTCAGACTTGCAGAGCGGCTGAAATCTTGATTCACGGAACAGGCATTCAGTTTCACCCTTTTTCGTGGTTTGCTCGAGTTTCACCCCGTATCTAGCACTTTTTATTTAAATACAAAGCACTGTCTTAACTTCCTGGAAATCAAATAATTATTCCATGTAATTAAAGTACAGCCACTTGGTTTTGATATGGGGTACTCTAGCAGGAAATGCGTGTGAGGGCCTGGTGGAATTAGGGAATTCATTAGAGACCACATTTTTAACTGTTTGGCTATTTTATTTGACTTGGTGTGGGTTACTGTTATAATCAAACGAATCCTTGTGATGCTATCTCTCTCTCCCATCACACCACTTAGTGCATCCATGTAACTGCTCTAGGGTTACAGGAGCTGTAGGTATATTGTTACCCGGAGGATTCGATGGAGGCAGAGAGTGCATATGCCCAAATCCACAGGCTGTGGTTTCTCTAATTCACCAGGCTGGCTGGTGTTAATAGACATACTTATTATGTCTGCAAAGCATATGTGCTAGCTTTAATGGGCAGTTCTGAAAACTGTACAGTTATATCAGAACTTTATGAAACTATTATCTATTCCTTCTTAGCCTGAGCAGACCACACCCCTCGTCAGTTATAACAGACTTCCCCTTTTGTCACTCTCTAATAGTATGTTTATACACTTCTAAATCCACCAGCCAATTTCTCCAGTGTAGTTCAAAGTTAAAACAAATTACTTTATGATGTTAATTTTCTTTCTTATATCCTCTCTAAGCATCCATAATCTAATGCATTGCTCCCATTTATTAAATCATTTGAGAATAGATTTAGGCTTGGACACCTCTCCTGACCTATGATTTTAACGTTTATTCTTTTTTTTTTTTTTTAAATACCCATGATTAGTCTCAGGGATTATAGTCTTGGTGAATGAAAAATGATTATGAAAAAGTACAATATTCACAAATGTATAAAGTAGTATAATATATACTCAATGTCAGACAAGTAAAAGTTTCATGTTGTTATGTTCCTACATATTCATTTTTCTTTCTCTACTGCCCTCTACTAATCAAGTTTTATGTGTCATTTAAATCGACGTATTTCAATTCTGTTTTATTTTCTGGATGCCTTATATGACAAAATATCCACAAAAATGGCTGATGCTTTTCAATTGCATCCATGATTTCAAAATTTGGCTATCACTTGAAGATGGCACTGTCAGTATTTTCTAGAAGTAGCATTAGATTTGCCCTGGCTCAACCACACACTTTTACAAGTTGTCTACAATATCTTATTCTTGCCAGAGTAAGTTTATGAACACAGAACAACACCAGGGCAAAAGGACCCCATGGTAAGGTGGCATTTAAATAGACCGGGGTTCAAATCCCAGCTCTGCTACTTACTAGCTCTTTTAAGTTTTTAACCTCTTTGTGCTTCAGTTCTCTCAGCTGTAAAATGCAGGTGATCTCAGGGTTATTGGGAAGATATTTTTTTAAAGGTTTAAATTATGTTGTATGGATCCCCTCAAACCTATGACTTAGAAAACCTCAAGTGCAGTTAACCTTGAATTTTTTCTTTATCTTTTAATTTTATGAGGGTAGTGATTGCAAATTAAATTAAGCTTTATTTTTGAATCCTAGCTTCAAATAGCACTAATCTTCATCCAGTCTAGTGATGGGGCTTTTATTTATTCCCAAGTGTAGTAGACATCATGTCAGAGAGAAGAGTATAAAAACGTCCAGTTACAGGCACATTTCTCATATTGTTTGTCCATGATAAAGGCAGAGAACAGAGAAGGACATAAAAAGAAACTTTGAAATGAAACTTACAACTTCTTGCTCGAATCCTGCAACCTTGACATGCACTTATTCACAATATCAGATCTTTTCTTTATGAAACATGAATCATTAGCCACAAATTAGCGTATATTTTACCTTAGAGTTATTGGGTATTTAACCCCAAATCACAAAATTTTCTAAGTCAAAAAACCTGACCATTCTCTCCTATATTCAAGGCAACCAACTGAATCACAGATCTTCATTGATATAGTTCATGTCCTTGATCACCCCTAGAATAGATGAAGTGCCTCTCTGCTGTGACCCCATGATATTCTGTACTTTCTTTTGTAATTATCTAGTTTGGTGTCTTCTTGTCCCATTACACAGGGCACAACTTAAAGACGTGCACCCTATTTAATCTTTGTATCCAAAGCAACTAGCAGGGTACTTGGCATGCAGCAGGCACTGAATAAAAGTCTGTTGAATAAATGAGTAGCTGAAAGAATACTTATTGCAAGTTACTGTTTTAATCTTCCTCTTTCATCTTTGGAGATAAACATATGGGTCTTTCTAAGTCAGAAGGCAGGAATATGGAATAATAAGCAATAAGTAAATGTTAGGATACTAAGATTGAGGATAAATGCCAATTGTACCTCATTCTCATTACTTAAAAAGGGAACAGTAGAGTTGGGGAGTTGTAGGGGGTCTCAAACGTAGGCAAACACATACAGTTTTTGTATTTACCAGTTCCCAAATAGGCCAAGGTTATTCCTTGTTGGTTACAGCCAAATAATTTATCACAACACTGCAAGAATGTCTGACCAAAGGTTGCTTTCAATGGGCTTTTGAAACTTAACTCTAATGTAAAAAAAAAAAAAAAATTGCAAAATTTAGACAGGGGACAATACATATTTTAATCTTTGATTGACTGAAGGATATTAATTCTTCCCCAATGCAATGAATCCTAAAGTTAGGCTATGTGAATTCTCTTGTCTTTCTCGAAAAGACCAGTTTTTGAAAAGTCATAGAAACAATAAACCAAAATGCCTGCTAAGCTCATACTAAGGATCACAACGCTTAAGATTTTTTTTTTTTTTTTTTTTTTTTTTAGGGTGATAAAGATAAAGGAGTGAGGAATTCAGGAAAAGATAAGAGTGCAGGTTTGTGAACTCTGGATTGCAAGCTAGGACACTGAGCTCCAACCTGGTCTCCATGCCCCCACCCCATCCACCACATATGGACCTCTGGTACCCATTAAGATCTGTGCTCAGTTTCTCCAAATCTGACTTATGGAATATTTTATCAAACTTGGATGTTTCGGGACAAAATGTAAACACAAAGGAAGACCAGGGGTGGAGCTCAGAGGGGTAGTGATGTATATGTCAATGTGCACAGAATGGGGATCTTGTGCTGAGCTGCTGAAGTACAGTAGGTCCTCTAATGGTGTCTTTTCATTATAAAGTTGATTTAAAAAAATCATTTCCTGATCAGGGCCACTCTCTGGGAAGAATTTGTACCATGTCTATATAGGTTTTCTGTGGGAACTCCAGTTTAATCTCACATCCCAAAGATGTGAGTTCATTGGTGTGTCTAAAATGTCCCAGTCCTCTGAGTGTGTGTGTACCTGCAATGAAGGGCGGCCTGTCCAGGCTTGAGTCCTGCCTTGTGCCCTGTGCTGAGGGATAGGTTCTGGCCATCTGTAACCTACAACCCTGAACTGGAATAAGCGGGTTGGTAAATGAATGAATAAATGCAAATCGTTGTTTAATACTGGAAGTGTTTTGTGCCTTTATTTAGAAGTTCGGTGATTTTTTTTTTTGGTCAAGAAATATGCTGTAGGGGGCCTCCCTGGAGGCGCAAGGGGTTAAGCACAACACCTGAAGCTAGCCACAGCCTCGGCAGCACAAGTTCGATGCCCGGCCGGCCAGAGAGTTACCCACATGGTGCAGCAAACATCTCCTGACTCGCCCACTGCTCCCCTCAGCAGTGTATTTCAGTCAGTCTGCCTGTTCTGTTCCCCATTCTGTCTCTGGTGAATCCTCTCACACCCTCCCCTCACCCCCCAACTCTGGCCTGTACCCCAATTCTTGTACGCATAAATAAACAAATAAATCTTTATTAAAAAAAAAGAAATATGCTGTAGGAACTTAACTTGCGTTTGTATCAATTAAGCCTGTAGTAAAGTTGGGTCATGTTATACATCATTTCACTTAACGATAATTTCTAAGAATCTATCAATGATCGTAAGTGAGGACTTAACATACTTCTTGCCTCAGCCTGAGTTTTCTGTCTCACTGTGACTTGCAGATGTTAGAGGTTTCAGCTGTGGGCAGTGTTAATGGCTTAGGCAGAGAAGCTAATTTTTACCAAGAGTTATCTCTAGAATTGGAATATTTCACTGGTGCATAAGGAAGAAATATCATACCATTCTTAGTGAGATCAGTGTTCTCTGGTTAGTAAAAGAATGTTACATACAAAGAAAGAAAAATTTAGTTAAGTTCTTACAAAATGATGATCTAAATTCAGAAAAGATCACCATTTTAGGTTTTGATTTCAAGAACCGTATCAACAGACCAAATTCAATTGCCC